GTAGAACAGCCCCTGCTACCGCCACATAATCAGGCTAGTTAGGAGCTGCCTCTGCTGCAAGCCCTGTGCTAAGCGCTTGCTTCATTCCTAGCCAAAGAAACCCAGCCCGTTTGAGAAAAATCATACTTACACACAATCGGGGTTTGTGGGTTTAAACACATACAGGACATACATAGATGCATAGGAAGGTATGGTGGGCGGGAGAGGTAAAGCATAGTCTAAAATGTGAAAGAGTCCCTTTTTCCCCCCTTTCTTTTCCACAGGCAATAAATTCAAGGCTATAAAAATCAAAGAAAGCTAATGTAAGTTTTATTAAACTATTTAACCGTCACAAGTTTAACGCGTTGTGTAACAAAGCAGGATCAGTGCCATACTGTATTTTACTAGGCTTGTAAAGTTAAATGAAGGCTTCTGATTTCTACGATGTGTTCAGCTCCTTTAGCCCTGGCAACACAATCCTGGTATTATGCTGGGGAACATATGGAGAGAGATTCTGATTTTTTCCCCCCCCGTTTAAGACAAACGCTGGGGGATCTCGTGGTGGCAGGGGGGGTCCGCCAGGCAAAGTTCTGGTGTCCCATACACAGCACATATTCCATTTCATATTTTCCCATATTAAATCCACCCCCCCCTTCCAGAAAGCGTCATTATTTGGACCCCGAACCCCTCTTCCACTCCCCGCCTAGGTCCAATTTTTGAAAAAATAAATGCATGCATACATAGCTTTATAGGCACGTGGATTATACATCAAACACACCGATTGATATTAACCCCTTTTGGGGGGGCTAATTTGTCCATATTCTCCCCTTATTCCAATAGCCCTCTGGAGCAGCCTGCAAGGCTGGCTGTTATTCTGCATTCCCCACATGATGGTTATGAGAAGCCAAAGAGCATCAGCATCTTTCTTTCTTTCTTTCTTTTATTATTATTGTTGTTATTATTTTCTTTTCCCCTCCTGTTTCCCCAGCCAAACCTACGCAGGGATATTAGCCCCGCACTGTATGTTTCGTGGCTTCCGAAACTCCTGACGTTCTGCAACATTGCATAAACATAAAACAATCCATCCTTGATATGGAATGCAAGGGCGGATGACAGCAGTGCGCAGCCCCCTTGGCTTCGATTGATTTACGCCTATACTGACGCTTTATCAGGCACACGAAAAAAGTTTGACCAATCATTTTGCTAGGAGCTCACCACACAGCAGCCCAACTGTACTTTGTTGGCTAGGAAGTTGGAGAAAGGGGTTGAGTACAAATCTAGATCTGTCCTATATATTTTTTTCCCTTCATTGAACCGTGCTTTGTATGATGTCTGAGAATGTCCATTTCTGGAACTCTTAGCAATTATTATGTCGACTCTATTATAAGTCATGAAAGTGAAGATTCGCCTTCAGCTAAATTTTCATCTGGGCAATATACGAGTTCCAGGCAAGCTGGGCATAATGAGCATCTAGAATTCCCCTCTTGTAGTTTTCAGCCAAAACCGCCAGTTTTCAGCGCCTCTTGGACTGCTTTGAATCCACATTCTTCTGGTACCCTTCCTTCGGTCTATCATCCATATATTCAACATCAAAGCGTCCCTTCTGATAGCAGGTATCTACGGAGCTGGCTGGATCCAGTACCCAGAGCAGAGAACATACCCGGGCAGGGATCAGTTAAAGCAGAACCGCTGCTGGGGCACCCCGGGGAAGTGCATAAACAGGGAACACAGGAGTACAATTTAGAAACTTCTGCTGGAAGGGAAGGGATCGTTTCCACTCAAAGGCCCAGCTTCGAGGACAATAAAGTTTGTGAAGGAAGCGAGGACAAAGACAGGCCAGATCAAAGTAAGTTATAAAAGTGAGGAAGTAAACAGTATAAAAGCGGAGGAGGTGCAATAAAACGAGACAATGCAAAGTAAAGTTAAAATCATGTCTGAAAGAAAACTCTCAGATTACTGGTGCCAGCCTTCGGAGAGGGCGGTTGGGAGGTGGGTGGCAATGCCTAGAGATCTTTGAGCAAAATATAGTCCAGGAACAGATGGGGGGGGAAAAGCTTTATCAACTGATTTTCTTTACCGATATGCATTTTCCTCTCTCCAGCTGATTTAAGCACCAAACCCATCTCTTTGCTAGTAAAGGGTAAATTCGACTTGAAACTGTGTGGGGGGCGGGGGGTTGGGGGAGAGAAGGGGTAAATATTGGGAGGAAAAGGGGATTCGGAAGGGGGAAAGGGACGGGGGGTTTTTGGAAAAGGGAGGAAAACGAGGGGAAAAGTTCACATGGGGAAGTGAACAGCAACTGTATCTATTTCATGCTGTCTGGTCTTTACCTTGAGAGAGAGAATTGTTGAGGGCTGGCTCGGTGCTTTCCTCTGTCACGCTGTCTTTTTGCTTGTTTGTTTGTCTGTTTGTTTATGAAATGCAATGTTTAAGGGTATGAATATTTCAAAGCCACGCTCCCAAACCAGGGCGAGGGAGATAGAAATGTAATGAGGTCTTTATTTGGAATGTAACAGATTGGCAAACACTTAAAACTAATCATGTGCCTCTTTCGTGACCTGTTTTCTGGAAAATGGAGAAATGCAATTAAAGAAATACACAGCTTTAGATCAAAACCAAGGACATGAAACGGGGGGGAAAATCATTCTCGTTTAGCTTCTCTTAGGCTGGTTTTTATGTGGGTTGCTTGCAAGGTAAAACGGAGCTGGTCTCAGAGCAAGATGAAATAAGGCACGGTTCAGCACCGTTGCAAATATTTTGCATTGAATGAACAAGTTTTTAAACCGAACTCCTCGCATGCTCCAAGAATAGAGCTCTCCAGATTGTTTATATCTATATTTATGTATGCATGCACAGATAATCATCCCCCCAATTCACTTTATTTCCCCCCTCTTTTTCATAATTGCAACTGAGTTTGCAGTTGCAGCCATGCGATTAAAAATAAAGGAGCACTTTATTTCTCGTCTTGCGATCTGCAAAAGTGGCATTATTTCTATCCTGTAACCTATACCGTGCACACACACACACACACACAAGAAAAAAAAAGTCGGGTTTTTGTTGTGCTGGGCAGAGGTCCAGAACAAACTGCAACCGTGAGGTGAATGATTTGAGAGAATTAAATATCCAGGTTGTGTGCTCAATGTCCCTGAAATTAAATATATAAAAATCTTGTCCAAGAAAACGTTATGAAGTTATAAGTAAGTGCAGAGATCCACGTTGAGAGGATGCTATGTGGTTTCTATGGTATGTGGTTAAGACGCATATTTTGTTTTAAATAATAGTTCAATTTTGGCTGATGTTGAGAGAAAGCCAAAAAAATGTCTATCTCAGTACTGCAAGAGGGGGCTGTTTTGCAGAGAGCGCTCGCACCAATTTCAGCGACTGTTTCAATTTTTGAAAGTATTTCACAATAATTAATCTGTGCAGGATAGCTGGCAACTCGAGGTTTTAATTTACTTGCTAGATTTTGAAGGGTAAGACCTGCCAAAAATCCTTTCTCATTTGCTTTCCTGTTTAGGGGCTTGTGTACACTTAATAGATAAACCTATTTTCCTGTAGAAAATGTCATGTTTTTCTAACGATCCGAGATATCACAAAAAAAGGATCTTTTATGAAGAAGAGCCTTCCACTGCCATTAAAAGAAAGGTAGCAGTATTAACAGTATCAATTATTAACAGCATTCTTCCTCTTTAATATTTAATTCTGCATATTAGATCAAGTCAATTACATTAAGGAAGTAGCCGTGCAAATTTGTAAGATGCAGTACTTACAGTGGAAGATTAACCGGATTATTTTTAAAATATTCAATACATTTCATTTTACTGTAGAGGAAACATTCTGATGGTATATTTTTTTATCATGCTCTATTTAATTGGTGTAAAGGTTTATGGCTTAAGCCATCATTCCAGGAGAAGCAAAGGAAGCAAAACAGAAAAAATATGGTCTGCCCAGAATATGCTTCTTGTTATTCTTTCCCCACCCCCATCTCGGTTACCTAACGATCGGCCAGTTAATGTTTACATGAACAAGGAAATGCCTACAATGCTTTTACCCCCCAAAAGCTGCCTCAGCACACCTTTTTCTGAAGAGTTAACCAGTCTACTTGGTTAGCTGCTGTGTGTGGCTAGTGCAAAGTGTTTGGAATATTGGACTAATATTTAATGGCTCTGATCTTCCTTCTAAAGATTTCTTCCCCCTTTCCCCTTTCTTTCCCCATGTTGAGACCAATGAGTGTTTTTAATGTTCCAATTTCCCTTTGAGGGCAGGAGATGGGGGCGGGGGAGGGACGGGGGGTATTTTTACTGCATTACTTAAGTTTAGAAAACACCGCTGCAAATGCAAATGTCTCTCTTGATAATACTGACCCGATCACAGGGAAGAAGCCCTCGAGCCCTTATTGTAGCAGGACTATTTCTTGCCACTTAGCCAAAAAAAAAAAAAAAAAGGACATGATTTATTAAAGGCTTTATTCAGAAGTAATCTGTGGATATATTCGTAGCCTGAAATACATGCCGGTAGGAATGGATGGACAGATCTGCAAAAAAAAAAATGTCCTGGCCAGTGCTGCATGTCTGCAGAGGCATGTGGGCGTTGGGTTCACAGGATAGACAGGCATGCAGCCATGCACATGGAGGCCCCGATCCTGGCCACACTTGAGCACGTGCTGAACTTCGCCACTCTCGATTCCAGGGGGAGACCTGCAGTTGGAAAGTCCTGCACGTGCTCACGCGTGGGCCGGATCGGGGCCCTGTGCCTCCACGCTTATATACCGGGGTGCATAAAACATCCGTGCTTTTCACGTGGCCTTTTCTTCAAACGCAGAACTTAGCGGACATTTCTTCTCTCGACTGTATATGTGTTTACGTGTTTGTATATATATATATATGGGTGTGTGTCTATATATATGTAGCCACACACATATATAGATAGCCATATTCTTAATATCTGATAGCATTATTTATTAAGGACTTTCTGAGAACCGATCAGGATACACAGTATTGATCTTGCTGCTTTTCTTTCAGCCAACCCCGCTGCCAACTGGCTGCACGCCCGCTCCTCTAGAAAAAAGCGATGCCCCTGCACGAAATACCAGACGCTGGAACTAGAGAAGGAGTTTTTGTTCAATATGTACCTCACCAGGGACCGCAGACACGAAGTGGCCAGACTCCTCAACCTGAGTGAAAGACAAGTCAAAATCTGGTTTCAGAACCGCAGGATGAAAATGAAGAAGATGAACAAGGAACAGGGCAAGGAGTGAACCACAGCAAAGCCCCTCTGCCCCCTCCCCGCCCCCCGGTCCACTCCCTAGGCCCCTTTCCCAGCTGATGCTGCCATCCTGCCCCAGTGCTGAGAAATAAACAATGACCGTGGGCTTTTTTGCTTGTTTGTTGCTGTTGTTGTTGCCACCTTTGCATGGGAGATGTTCATGAGTCCTTCCTTTGATCCCCACTTTCCGACCCCTAGTCCCTACCCCAGCCCCTCCGCTACATGGGACACAGGCGGGGCGGGGGGGCGGTGCTCTTGCTTGTGTCTCCCTCTGTGTAGTATGGCCATCTAGATGCGTGGCTATCAGGGCTACTGCTGGGTTGCGATCAGGGTTTTAAATATATATTGGCCTCTTTATCCTAAGTGGAAGACAAAACAACATCGTGGTCACAAGCAGACCCAGCCCCTGTCCCGGCCAGACCACGCTGCCTTGCTGTGACCATGTTCAGTGAAGTGATGGTGTCTGTCTACAACACTCCCCTATCTCACACACACACACACACACACACACACGCACACGCACACACACACACACGAGTTGAAGTGGCAAAAGAAACCAGACGATTTAATTAAACTACTGGAAGACAGACACATTCGTAAGGCTGCTTTTAATTGCATCCAACAAATCATTTTCAATTCACCAACTTTCTACCGGTGCATTCGGATCCCTGACACTCAAATATCCCACTGCGCCCTTTTTATATTATTCTCTTTTTCTTTCTTTTTTTTTTTTTGAAGCCGCGCTGTGGCAGATACGTGACTTTGACCAGGACAAAAACCCGGAGTAGAATCTTTTCCCAATAAACCTTCCCACGTGGTAGTTTTATACTGGATCGTGGGGGGGGGGGGGGGGGAGAGGAATGGGAGGGGGATTTCTCAGATTAAGACTGTAAATTGTTTAGCTGAAAAAAAATGATTTAAAAAAAGGAAAAAAATAAAAAAAATAAAAAAAAGTCCCTCCCCATCAAGTATCCCTAACTCCTAGAGGCGAGAAAAATCGCATTTTTTCCTAGTTTCACACAATAAACTACCTTAGAGAAGCTATCCCAGAAGGTAAAGGCTGTGTTTTTAGTGTTAGCGTATTTATAATTTATTGTGCAAGGACTTTTCCTCAAGAAGGAGATGGCTGCAGAGATAACAGTGCCCAACCCGGGGTCTGGAGACTTTCCCTTCTCTTCCGAGAAGTTCCTACTTGAATGTCTTCGTTTGCTCCGGGAGAAGCGAGTCGGTCCCCGTGTCTCGCCCCAGCCCTGCTCACACATGGACCCCGCCAGGACTCCCCCGCTCCATCCTCACCTTGTAACTAGCCGAGGGACATCGTGAGGGCTGTGATTGTCTTGTGGTTTATGATTAGTATGATTTTTTTGGTTGTTGTTGCTGAAGTGCATTTAATGTAACAAATGTGTATCTTCATTGTTTACAAAAGAGGTCTCATTTCATGCTGGAAGGACCTGAAAGATGTCCTGGAGGTTTCTCTCTTGTCTGTCTCCCTGCAGTCCAGCCATGGACTGTGCTCTGTAAGTCTTAACTTTTTGGGGGGGAAGAGGGTGGGTGGGTGGGAATTTGGGAAGGGGCGTAACTTTAGTACCAGTTGACTCGATGGTGGGTATTGTAAAATGTGTTTGTGATTGTGTTTCTGTGAACGTTGACTCTAGTTTTCTGTTTCAATGTGGCTTTTTTCAGGAATCCCTTGAGCTCTTCCACTGTTCGTTTGCAAAGGAGGACGGCGAATAGCGAAATAAACCTCTCTGGGGGTTGTTGGTTGTTATTATTGTTTTTTCTCTCGTGTGCACATTTGTATATTGAGCTACCAAAAGTCTTTCTAGAAATGACGCAGTGTAGGGTGGCAAGTTTTACTAGGGGGGGAAAGGGGGAGGGGGGGTTACAAAGAAGAAGAAGAAGAAAAGAAGAAGAAGAAAGGAAAATAAATATCTTTCTGGTGAATTCGTGAGCCAAACGATACAAATCTAATTTCATAGACGAATAAGCCGCTTGTACTTTTAGTAGGAGATTTTTATACCACTTTGATGTGCTGATAAGCGAGTGCTCTGTAGAGATTTCATAGTCCTATTTTCAGCGTTGGGTAGATTATCCTAAAATAATCTTTTTGCTGTACACTGAAATTCACACCACTGCAGCTTCCCTGCAAGGGGAGGAAAAAACACACAATCTTTCCTCGACTAGAAACCAGATCTTCGGGGTTTAAGCCCATTCTTCAGAAAGTTTTTCTGCCTAGACTTTCTCATGCAAAACTTTCCATCCCGAAGTGACTCCTTTCGAATTTAAAATGCCTCTGTGCAGGGGCCGCAGCTGGTTAAACTAACTTCTGCCAGTAGGAAACACTCCCTGGTCCCTTCTCAAAACAAACTCTAAATCCCAGTTTCCAAGACAATTTTTCCTCCATTTTAAAATGAAAACCCCCCCACTTCTGAACACAGGTTTACCCGTTAATATCTTATGATGAAAACCCCCCAAACATTCGGGCATGTTAAAAGTTCAGGAATCTACTTCTGATTGTTTTATTTTTTATTTATGTTTTAACAGCCTTTTCATTTAAAGTACAGATGAATCCCAAATCTGCTTTTAACCAGCTGAAGACCTTTCTTATATTTGCAATACGGTTCCCAAACTGCTTGAAGTCTAGGCTCACCCAAACACTTAGTGCTTTGTAAGTAACTTTTCCCATCACTTACTGCATTTATTCACTCTGTTGAACACTAGAATCTAGCAATCGTTCCTTTTTCACTTCCCTTAGAGCTGTGGTAATGAACGGATATTTTTAACATAACAATTGCAAGATGCTTTCTAAATATAGTAAAAAATAATGTTAGTTCCTTTTAGTAGGGAATTTGCTTTCTTTAAAGGAAAAAAAATGTTGGAAATCCTGTTTTCTGTAGCACAAGCCCAAATGTATTTTCCACAGATGTTTAATGCTCCAGAATAAAAATCGATTTTAGAACAACAGAACCTATATCTCATTGTGTTATACTGCTTCGTCTAAAATTTCAGAAATATTTTCATTGTGTTTTCCTGCATCCTTTAGTGGCTCTTTAAGTGTATTATAAAGATCAATTTTTGCTTGTGTAAAAAAAAAATCGTCCAGGGGCAAATGAAAAAAAAAAATCATTTCCAATGCATTCAATGTTTTGCTGCTTCTACTTCAGCCTTCTCCATTTCCAAATCAATTTTGCCAAAACATAGTTGAGACTGAAAGTCTTTGTAGTCTGTGGTTAGATATTCCACTTTAAGGGTTTTGATTTTGGCAAATAATCTAGCTAAAATAAGCTGAATATGAAGTGATGGGGCTTTTTTCATTGGTGTCCCTCCCCACCAAAAAAAAAACCCTTTGGAAAAGGAAAGGAAAAAAGCCTACCTCCAGTAGGAGGAATAATGATAATATTTGACATATGGTTCTTTTTTTTTCCAAGAGCTTAATGAGAGGTTACTATAATTCTGTCTCTAAAATCGTTTTACAATTTATGCCTCCTGCAGAAATATAAGTGCCTGGAAGTGTATATATAAATAGATATATTTAACAAAAATAAACAGCCTCAAGCCCCATTACAGATCATCATGAAACAGGTAGTAAGAAACGCAACCAGGATTCACTCCCCACTCATTTTTAACATAATAATGAGGGCTCTAAAAGGCAATATTTTACCCCCCCCCTTTTTTTTAAATCCCCTTTCTGTGGGGCAATCCTGAAAAGAGGGCGGGGGGGGGACAAAAACAAAAGAAGGGGAAAGATATTTGGAGCTTATTGGAGAAAGAGAGAAAAGGGAAGTAACTTGTCATAAAAAAAAAAGAAAATTCAGTGCAGTGCGCTGCAATAAAAGAATATGACCGCTATAAAACTTTATAGGGTATAAATTTCTGAAGGTTAAGGAACTAAACGGCTGTAAAGCAAACAGTGCAAGAAAACTTTCAGGAGCTCCTAAATTACTACAACGACTTGGGAATGTGGGGAAACTCTCAACCTGTAAATACTCTTGTTTCTGCTTCAGTCACATGCAAAGTTTTAGTTTTATTTTGTTTCTGTTTGGGGATTTTTGTTTGGGGGGTGGGTTAAAAAAAAAACAAAAAGGGTGAGGGGAGGGACTGTGTTAATTTATTCTTCTCTTGCAGATGCCGTGAAAATCCAGCACTTTGGGAGTTTCTCTTTGTTCTTTCTTTCTTAGCCATTCCAGGCTGCCAGAAGTCCAGAGCCATAAACTCACAACAACAACCACAACAACAACAACCACACACACGCGCGCGCACACACACACACACACACACACAGAGTTCTGGCGAGACGTCTGGGTTTGGGAAGCTCTTTATCTATTTACAGCCCCGGCCTTCCCCCTCCAGAGGAGAATACCCAATTGTTTAGTCTCGGGATTTGAAACAATAGTGGTTTTCAAAAGCAAACCCATTTCCCCCTCTTTTTATTGCCCCAAACTCAGGAGCTGGAAGGGTGGAGGGAGAGAAAAGCCAAACTAAGCCAAGGGGGCTTTACCCCTCTGCAAAACACCCTAATCCGTGTCTTTATTTCCAGGCTGTCCTCCCCACCCCATGGGAAATGAAGAAAGTTCCCCCTACCTCTACTCTCCCCGCTTCTCTCACTTTCCGCCACCTACACGCTTTTATTGGAGTCATCTGGTCGCACAGCTGGGGGAACAAATACCTAACCCGAATGGTCACTAGATGGCGCTGTTGCTCCACGTTAAAAAACCGAGCGGGCCCGTTACTCAGCATTAAGGCTGTTTAATAACACCTTGATTTCATTCGAAACAACAAACGGGATGTTGCCGAAAAGCATGAATAATCCCGAGACATAAAATATAGGGTTAATTATAGCTATTTTGCCGATTTTATAGGTTACATCTATTTTTTTCCTGCGCCTGTAAATTATCCGAGATTCAAAAAACAGGGGGGAAATGTGGGAAGAGCG